CCTCAACCTTGTGGACAGTCTTCCCAGAAGAGTTGAAGCTGTAATAGCTGCAAAAGGTGGACCGACATCATATTGAACTCTGGGTTAGGAATGGGATGGCACTTCAGTTCATAGTAGGAGTCAAGGCAGGTGAGCCAATACTTTTGGTCATATAGTGTACTAACTAACGCAGTTTTGCCTAGTCAAAAAATAAAAATTTGGATATCTGACATTCATAGGCGCCTTACTGGACTTCTTTTCAAGACTTTCAGCTAACCTTTGTTTAAAGCTGATATTAAACATTATATGTACTTACAGTAACCTTTAGCTTAACTCCATTTGCCATTAAGCTACAACTTAGCTAACTGTGAGCTAATTTTAAAGACTAACCTTTTGATTTGTTTTGTAACATAAAATTGTCCTTGATCTCTTTTTGGTTATTTTAGCTTTTTATTTATTTTATTTTATTTTAACATTTTCCCGTGAAATAATAGTTGAACTAATGTGTTGACACTTAAATACCTTTGTTTAATAGTTACAGGTCAAAACTTGTTTTTTTGTTGTTTTTTTTTGGTGACACCAGTTCTTAGCAAAAGTTGCACACATAACGTAAGGACCTAAACCTTGTCTTAGAACCAGGTCTGATAAAGTGTCTTTGTTTTCCAGGAGTGGAAGTGGATCAGGAGCAGACATTTGAGGTATACACACAGGATGCAGGAGGTCAAGGTCACCTGCAGGTGATGGTGGTGAGTGTCATACTTTTTCAGGTCTTGGTTCTGCTACTGGTTTTTCTCCTGATCTTCGAATCTTCTTTTGTTGTAGCTTAGTCCCAGTGAGAGGCTTCTAGAATGTGAAGCAAATCCTCTTCCCAGGAAAACTGGGAATGGGTCTACGTTTGGTTTCCGGCCTACAGAAGAGGGCATCCATTTTGTCAATGTGTCATATGACGGACATCCCGTTCCTGGGAGTCCATTTCAGTTTGAAGCTCAGCTGCCACCAGACCCTAGCAAGGTACAGATAACAGAACCCTGGCATGCTTCCCTTGTTCTATATGGTGCGAAAATCTTCTGGTCCAGTGATTGGCAGCTGCATCTGTCTGTTTTCTTGGTTCCACAGGTGAAGGTGGCTGGCCAAGGTCTTAGTGGAGGACTGGTGGGGAACCCAGCTGAGTTCTCCATTGACACGACAGGTGCCGGTACGGGTAGTCTGGGCCTGACGGTGGAAGGTCCAACTGAAGCCAAGATCGAGTGTTCAGACAATGGAGATGGAACCTGCTCTGTGTCCTACATGCCAACAGAACCTGGAGAGTACCTGGTCAATGTCCTGTTTCAGGAGGTCCATGTCCCTGGGTCCCCCTTCAGAGCGCACATCCAGAGACCCCTAGACCCTTCGAAAGTTCTGGCTTCAGGAGCAGGACTGATAAGGGCCAAGGTAGGTCCAGATACCAGTGTTTCTGACCAGTGTTCATTTTGTCAGGACAAAGATGAGATGAGATATATTTGTCAACGACCATTTCTTTGACTAGGATGAGACAATGATGAAAAAAAAAAATCAGTTTTTTTTATTTTTGTCTGTGTCGCCTTGAATCTGTTAAAACGATTAACCTGAAAAGTTAGGATCCAACCTGATCGAGCCTGCGTCCTCAAGTCGTTAACCTTTTGGGGGGACACTCACTTTTCAGACCAGATATCAAAGAAACAAATAGGCTTAAACTGATAGTGCTATTTAAAAAAAACGGCATCCATTATTTATTTATTTTATTATATCAGGGGTCGAGAACCTTTTCACCAGAGAGAGCCAAAAAAGTCACATATTTTAAAATGTATTTCTGGGAGAGCCATACAATTTTTTTTTATTCTGAATTTATTCTAACTGAATGTATGAATTTTTAAACCAGAATTTATTTTTTATTCTTAATACAACTGAATGTATGAATTTTTAAACCAGACTAATAGTTTTAGAGTATACTAAGTTTCTGAAGTATTAAAAAATGTATTAAATATTAATGTTGTTATAAATATTAATGGCAGCACCATTAGTCGGTTTTGATGCGATTGGCTCCCGGGCAAAAAAAAAATAAATGTATGGATTAAATTTTGTAACAGAGTTATAAATATATGGTTCCACTTGCCATACAAAAGAGTTTAATACACATCACGGAAGAAAAACCTTAATTTATCATACGGTCATTGAATGCAACACCCGTGCTGATTAGAGTCGTGAAACCCCGGGGAGCAACAGTCGGGCTCTGCTGTCCCTATGGTAGGTGCACGTTAGGAGGTCCGTCATTAATTAATTTGTTATATTAATTTTATCATTAACTGTACTGTTATTTACTTTATATTTTCAGCGTCAGAACTGTGTGTGTGTTGCTCCAAAATGGACTGACTTTGTTTTCACTTTTTATGCCAGATATGAACGTACCGAGCTGATGATTTTACCGCATTTATTTAACACAACGTAAAGAGAGTACACCGCAAATACACAAGTTTTTTTTACTCTACTTGGATATCAGCAAAACATGATCTTATTATTTCTTCTTAACACAATAAGTAATATTATTTATTACTTATTGTGTTAAGAAGTATCAGCTATCTGAGATCTCAAAAGAGCCACATCTGGCTCGTGAGCCATAGGTTCCCGACCCCTGTATTATACACTATATTACCAAAAGTATTGGCTCACCTGCCTTGACTCCTACTATGAACTGAAGTGCCATCCCATTCCTAACCCAGAGTTCAATATGATGTCGGTCC